TAGGACTCTGATATAAAGGTTTCAGAAAGTTTAAGTGAATCACACCAGCCGCTGGCCACCATATAGTAACCAAGGTCTTATTTTAATGAGTTTTCGCCTTTGGTGTCCAGCCACTGTCCTGAGCGTCTTCTGTTGTCGTAGAGACTCCACTTTTTAGCACACGTGACGTTCCGATTCAAAAAATTATCGTTTGGGTTGCGCAAAAGCAACGAACAGGCGTGAAAATTCCTGATGATCATTAAAATCGGGAAGGACCCACTTTTCGAGCTATTTGACTTTTTCAATATGTTTTAAGCAATCATAAACCGCATGGGAGCTGACGCCCTGTTCTTCCGTCATACCACGCACCATTGGTGATGGGTTAGTCTCCACCATGGTCCCCAAATCCTTGTCCTGAATCACTGAACTGTACCTCCCGGCCCAGTTTCGAAGCTAAAATCTCCTGAACGAAATTTGGCAAACCAACGTCGAACTATGCGTTCATCCACTATCATTGCCAAATGCCTGGTTAATTTTTTGTGATGTTTCTGTTGTGCTTTGGTTCAATTTGAATTCGTAGAGAAAAATTGGCCAAAAATCGCTCAACAACATCATTGTTGTTGACATTGAAAAAAAATGAACAGCACCAATGTATAGAATACAAAATTCTCTATCGATCGGTATATACCACGACACAATAGAACACATATTTGTCAGATATGGAGGGAGCTACAAAAACATATGACATAAAAACGGACGAAACGTTTGAAGCAGCTCATACATACGCCTCAGTAAAAGCTTCAAAAGTGGTTACAGCTGTAGTATGCTACAACAATACGATGACAGGAGGAAAACTTTTGTACATCTAGAAAAACATTTTTGAGAAGTTTTTAGAAAAAGCTTTCAATGAAGTTGATGAAAAGATAAACCAACACATACAGATTACACAATCAACATAAACTCAACTACACACAGACCTCAAAACTAATGAATAATTGAGGAGAATCGGTCACAGATATGATGTGAAAACAACATTCAGTTATAACTCATTGAGATTTTTTCTGAAACAAACTAAACCAGATATAACGGTTAAAAAGGCGAAAGAATATATTCACAATATACATTGTTCTAGTAGAAAAAGTTATTTATCCCAAGCCCCCTAGATGTAAGAAAATGTACACCGTGAGCGCCCTATCACATGGGGAGCTTCACGTCTTTCCGTCCCGAGAGAAAAGAAGGCTCTTAGCGCCAAAATGCAACGAGTCCAATGGAGCTTTCAGGCCAGGAGCGGGAACCGCCACGTCTCAGGAGACGAGAGCTGTCACGGCTCCTGCACCTCGAGTCGGAGATCTACGTCTCCACTCCGAAATGCATTAGTATGCGTGGGGGCTTCCACACGAGGAGTGAAAACGGCTCTCCCTAGTTGACGCTTCACATTTATACGCCGATGACAGGGCTCTCTTCTCATCTTCCATATGTCGGGAGCTCGGCGTCGTCTACATGCAACGTGCATTAGACGACCTCGAGCTCTGGTACCTCGATTGAAAGATCCGAGTGAACCCGAACAAGACTCAGGCGATAACCATGGGAAGATTGCTATCTTCTCCGGCCAGGAATGTGAAAATCTCTGGAAGGGAGATTGACTGGCAAGCGTGGATAAAGTACCTCGGCCTTCTAATAGACCGTAGACTCACTTGGAACCCGCACATCATGTACGGTAAATCAAAGATCGAGGGTCGGATAGCTAGTCTATACCCTGTGATCAATAGAAAATAAAAAATGAGTCTAAAGAACAAAAATACCATCTACAATCTTCAGGCTCACGAAAATCTGTTAGTTAGGGAAGCTATAGATTATGCTTTAGACGACCCCTCCTGATATAGAAGGCCCCGACACTCTGTCGAATGAGGCCCTCATATCCCCTGTTAACGGATGAACAGATCTTTCATTCATCCCACCCCAGCCAAGTAAGGGGTACCCCGTGAAGGGCGATAGTGACGTCTGAAGATTTCATGACGCCAATATCCCCTCAGTCATGATCCTATTTGTCCTTTTTCGACAAAAATCAGCTGAAAGAGTAAAGGAGCTGGGCTCTAACCTGAATGAATTGAAGACGCTTGGTCAGACGCTTCACACTATTTATCATGTCAGATTACGATGTGGAGCTGTTAATTAGTAGTCTGCAACCGACCCGCTCTTTGGGATAAAAGTCTCGACATTTATAACTACCGTAATGAAGTCGTAATGAAGTCGTAAAAAGTTGGGTGGAAGTCTGCAAGGTGCTCAACGTATATTTCGTAACTTTATCCATCCCACTCTTGATCGTTGACGTTTCTGTCGTCGAGGTTTGTGTCGACGATAGAGAATGTATATGGCAACAGCTCGCAGGCGTGTCGACGATAGAGAATGTATATGGCAACAGCTCGCAGGCGACCCATTCTACGACTGACCTCAAGGAGCCAGGAACTGAAAAGGCTCCTGGTGTGAATAGGCGGTAGGTAGGAGTGATAAACGCTCCCGTATAGTAGCGAGAGACGTGAAGCTCCCCGTGTGAAAGAGTTCTGAATAAGTAAGGAGAAGACAGATAGCAGGATCGGAAATAGCGGAGCATATAACAATGTACAATAAAATGTAGTGAAAAAAAATTATCACCAAGGAACCATTAGAAAAAAATGGAAAAACTCAAAGAATCCGCATATCTTCCGACAGGTAACAAGTGTATTTCAAATATCTCTCTGCAAATAGTTAGTACTCATTTGCTATTGCCGAAATAAGGGGTTCATAACAAACATATGAACCTGAACTGAATTCTCAGCAAATATACCGCATGTGTATTCATATAGGCAATCATGACATCTGGACATTCCGTTTTTTTGACTTATGTTAAAGGAACTTTGACTATTTGCGATTGAGGCGTTGTATACAAGTGATTTTTTTGAGGTTTGAAAACGGACCCATCTAAAATATGCAAAATATAGAATTTCCATTGATCATTCTATTTGTATACAAAATTTATGAATTGACTATTGTACTTTTCAATGGTTCATGTTACGCAATACCTTTCGGAGTGAACTTTTTAAATTGTCCCTCATTTCACGTGACCTAATTCTTTATTGATTCCGCTTCATTCATTTTTCAGATTATGAAATTTATGATATTGATAAGAATAATGATTTATTATTGACCATAACATAAGATATTTTTCAGTAGATCACATAAAGAGGTAAATAAATGGATTTCATGCTAGGTCTCAAAACCAATACTTCCACATAAACCACAACAAAAATTAATGAACATTCTAGCTATAGTTACACCACGATATAACTAGAACACAAATATAATTACTGATTAATCTTAAAAAAAACATGTTTCATTGATTTTCAAACAAATGTTTGAAATGTTTGGGTATTTTTTTAAAGGGGATTAATTTTTGGAAAAGAAAAGTTTTGACTTCTTCGTCTTCATCTTCATACAAAAATATGTGGGAGTCTTCCGAAGAAAGCTTGAAATAGGTTAGGTTCAAAGTGAGTGGATCTATTCAACCCTCCACCGCAACCCGCAAGGGTTTATTGTGGCTCATACATATTCACACTCGACCAAATAAACCCAGCTTCTTGACGAAACCGATTAGTTCGTAAAGTGAGAGGTCTTTCAGGTCAGATGATAAGAGTACGACCCTGCTAAACGCTAAAAACCTGATTCGGTTCACAGTGGGGCAAGCACTAAGTATGTACCCTGCTGTTTCATCATTTTCGAAGCAGAGACGACACACACTGACTTCCGACAGTCTGAGTCTCTGCATATGATGATTCAAACAACAGTGACCAGTAAGAAGTCATGTTAGACATCGTAGTTCATCCCTACTGTAGTCTAACAACTGTTTGGTATCAAGCTGCGTCGAAGGGTGGATAAACGCCTTAAAGTGAGCCAATCCTGGAAGATTCTGCCTGAAGTCCATAAATCTTCTTGCCATCCAGGTGTTCAATCTTTGTTTGGAGAAGCCTAGAGCGATGCCAATGACAGGTTCTGGTCCGATGAAGCTGCTTATCGCACCCTCCTTTGCAGAGAAGTCAGCAGCCTCATTGCCTCCCAAGCCAGTATGGCCAGGAATCCAGAACAGAGACAAACTGTTGAGTCTTTCTATCGAGGAGAGTCGTTTTTTGGCAATTTGCTACCAATTTAGACGTTGCTCGGTAGGAGCCAAGAGCTTCCAAAGCCGCTTGACTGTCCGAGAATATTTTTATTGACTTGTGTATGGGGTTGGATTCTCCGCACACAATTCAATAGGGTAAATTTCCACTTGGAAGAAAGGAAGCAATCAATTTCAAAGAATTAACTCTATACAAAGATGTGTAGATCATGCAAAGAAGGAACTTTCAGACACAAACTGAAAGAAGAGCCCTCTCAAAACAGCTACTGTTTTCGATAATGGAAAGCTACAACTCAATTCGTTTTAACATCTTGCAAGTATCTGCTATTATATCTTTCAACGTCAATAATTATAATCTGATAAGGATTTAATTGCACTTAATATCAGCTATGATATTTTTCGATGATGGACGTATTTGTTCATGATATACTATAAAGAGAATTTTTATACTGCACTTCCCATTTTCTAGATTTCAAAGACAATGTAATCATTTCAAAATGAAACCTGGCAATGAATGTACGTACACTGCAAGTAAACAACAAAATTTGCACTACGTTCCTCACTTTTCAAAATGTATCCGTAAAAATGAAAAATATCTTTGGCACATATTTTCGTTTGACCATTTTTTCTATAAAAAAGAATTAGGTATTTTAGGGGGTGGAGTGATGAAGTGAGACGCAGGTATATCTATCATTATATAACCCCCTAGGTTAAAAATGTATCAGAGTTTCAGGAAATAACATACACGTACAAAAATTTTGAGAGTGAACTATTTTCCTACAAAGGTTCCGCGAGTACAAATACTGAAACTGAAAATAAGATAATTATGTAGAAAATTATTCAACACTAATACCAAACGGATTGTGCTAACCTTTCATGACATTGATAGCCAGGGATAAATGCAGATTTTCTTCTATTCATATCAGGTCCAGGATCGTAAGTCAACATCACAAAAGAACTATCCATGATATCCGGAGCTGATCGACTTTTGAACGGCAGAAATATTTCAATAAATATGTCATCGTCATTCATTTCTTCACTTGTCCCTTCCACATTTTCGTTCTCTTTTTCCAAAGCCAAATTGTACATTTCCAGACAGTCCGCATAATCATTATAATACTCTTCAACGCACTTTCTGAAAAATATCAGTTAGCATGGAGCAAGTTTCATTCATTTCCATATTCCCATTTATTTAGTCGTATCAATTACTCACCTATAGACTCTCTGCAAAGGAATCTCATGAGTTTCCAAAACATTCGAATCACTCAAACTTTTACAAACTTCCTTATGTGTCTTGGTGGGATACTGTACAAGAAAAAACTCGTCATCTCCATGATCCTCGGAATGGTTATCGTAGGATTTCAGACCGTCATCGTCCATTTTGGAATCCAGACAGATGTGACGAGTGGTCGTGAAAAAGTCTTTCATCAGACAAGGTTCAGAAACTGCAACTTTCACTGAAAATGATAATTCAATATGTAAATGGAAGATAGATCGATATGTGAAGGAATTGACTATTACTTGATAAAAATCTGTAACATCACTCTTTGTGATATTTTCACTGAACAGTTCACCAAATTGCAGCACGTTCCACTATACAATGGCTCCCTCAGGCGTGTTCAAACATTCAGTTAGTATGCCATCGTATAGCAAAATATGGGAGAGAGTGTGTAAAAGAGCCAGTTTTGAAAAACATCAAAAAAAGTTGATGTCAGGTGATGGTGATTGAATAAAATTGCTTTCTGTGAATAATTAGTTTAATAGTCATGGTTATCCAATCAAAATGAAATGAGATACCATGACAGGAATTAGTAATATGGCAACTTAAAGAAAAAAGGGAAATCGGCTCTTTCAAAGCAATATGTGTATGAAAGAGCTGGGCATGTGCTATGAAAAAGCCGGTTCCTCTTTACAAAAAAAGCAATCTTTCAGCAAATGAAAATCACCTAATAAGCTATTAATCTGTCATATAAATCTTATCAAACTGTAAAATTGCTCATTTCTGTGACAATCAATTATTTATCAGTCTTAAATCACAATTCACTCATTCATAACTATTCAATATCTTGTTTTGAAAGGCCCGTAAACCGCAACATCCAGAGGTTGGAGTCTATGACTACAATGAGGTGGAAATATCAACAGAAATAACTTGTCCAATTTGTGTTGACCCTTTTTCAGCGATGATTTCAGGAGGAGCTGAATTAGTGCTGCATCCTGGAGCCGGCTCTTTCCCAGCCTCCACAAGTGGCTCTTTCAAAACATTTTGTCATTTAAGTTGTAACCTCAAAATACAGCTATTTCGCGTAAACATTATGACATAAATATTATCGTAAAATAATGCTGGATATATGCTTAACAATACAACATATCAATTTTATCAACTCATGCTGTACTTTTCTTTGTAAAACAAATTGAGTGAACGAAAAAAAAATTACTTTTTGGTCCTAAAATCTTTGATGTGGACGCCATTCGTTTTCGAAGAACTGTTAAATGTTTGTGGATGACAGCTATTCAGTGTTGCCATACAAATATCAAAATCAAATTATGGTAAGATTTTGGTAAGTGGTAGAAAATCACATCGGCTCTTTCAAAGCCTGGCTCTTTCAGACACACTCTCCCCTACGTATTATGGTTTAGTAAAATATTCAATGAAAATATCACAATGAAGTGTTGCCTGTATAGGTTTATAATAAATGAGATAATGGTGAATACATTCAACACCATTCAACTTTCAATTAGGAAGAACCAATTTTTTGAAGTAATTTTCACTGTTTTGTGCAGGTACTGTTATCATTTTCTTCCATTCGTCAAACCCACGGTTTAAGAAATGTTGATTGTGATAGGGTGCTAATGACGGCTCTGAATTTTCCCCCACCACTCGATTTTGACCTTGAATGACGTTGAGTGATGTGCACACCATATGACTTTGGGAAAGAAGTTTGACATTGACAATCGACTCTATCCTTGATATATGACCTTGAACTGGGGCGACATCATATGATCTCGAATGTTTACCTTGAATGAGACCTCGTTACTTCAATTTAGGTTGGAGCTGAGGACGTTAAGCTCTTATGAGAATTGTGGTATGAATATTTCAGTCATTTCAAATTCTCCTTATAATCGTCTGGTATTATATACAAAATGTATACGTGTAGTGAATGTGAGAGAAGTTTCACTCGGAGCATCAATCTGCGTCATCATTAGTGAAATTCCTCTATGTCTGCGAATGATGAAGGACCATTTGAATGTGATTGCTGCCCAAGCAATGTGATTTCAAGATCGAGATTCAGGTATGTGATGTATTTACAAAATTACTTGGTGAATGTGGAAAGTAAATATATATTCAGGTTGGACCATCGAGAAACTTATGTGTATGGAAATGAATGTAGCGTCCTTGGAGAGTCTTCTTATATCAAGCTACCCAAATTCATCGAGTTGAAGGAAAGTGTTTTGAATGTTGTCAATCAGGATCAGTACTACTTTGCGTGGGCTGTGATTCCAGCTTTGTATCCTGCCAATGTGAGAAAGTGTGAAATTTCATCATATCCTCAAACGTGTTGATTGTAACAGGTATGGATTTTCCAGTTGAGTTGAAAAATATTTCCACCTTCGTTGGGAGTTAGCATAAAAGAAACAGTAAGAAAGATGGAAGATACACTTTCTAAATTCCAATATCTCAGAAACTTCCCAGATATGAAAACCCTTTATTCTACACTTGTTTAGTCTCAATTATCGTACGGGATAATTGGATGGGGAGGAGTTAAAGGAAATATTCAGATAACCTTAGATGAACACTCCTACCACACAAGAAACAGGAATAATTCTGTGATCGCCGCTCATTGTGAGAAAACGATTGGATAGAGAGATGCTTGTTACTTGGGACCACGAATATTATCAGATAATACCCGATGTAATCAAAGACAATCATAATAACAAAAGTTTCAAGAAAAAAGTTAAAAAATGGATATTGCTCACCAAAAGATCATTTTTCCACAGACTGGTTGGTCAAAATAATCCAAAAAAAATATGTGAACAAAATTGCCCTCCCAGAAAAACAAAACAAAAACACACATGACGAACAAGTTTTAATAACGAAGCGGCAATTTTCAGAACTTTCCATGTAACATAATTACTTTATTTAAGCTATTGTTCTTATCATTCTGTACTATTTTATAACACTGTTTTTCTAAACATTGGTCATTTTTATCACATACACAATGTATTTTGCGTTCAACCGTCAATAACTATCGTCGCTGAACTACTGTAAATAATTCAGACTTATTTTAATAATTTTCAACATTAATTTTATATTACTTCTTATGAAGAATTTCAACTCATCACATATGTGCTAATTTTTTATTTTTTATTATTACTACTGATATGGCTATATCACGTACAAGGAACACCCCTTCAGCGATGCTCCTTTTGTGATGCCGTTGTTTATTTACTCCTTTTTTATATTTATATTAAGTGAATAAACATTTTTTTTTTCACCGTAGTGTGCGCTGGTCAGGTCCCATCCCCCGAAGCCCCGATACATTCGGGAGGGCGCGCCAGCATTATCAACCACTGACCACTCCCCACATCGTGGGGTGAGTGATCATGTGCCGTTATTATTATTATTACTCTATCAATGTTTATGATTTGGAAATAGTTTCAAAAATGATAGAATTGAATATGAAGTTGTAGAAGTTGTAACACTATAGTCATTATTGTTCGATTTAAAATTAGTATCATCACAAATATCTGCACACGATCATAGAAAGTACTTTTGTGATGATTATTTATTGTACTTTGGTGAGGAGCGGGCTTCATTGCGACATAAATTGAACGATTTTTATCACATACCGACCACAAATTTCAGGGTTGATGAATTCAATGAATGTCTACCTGACAATATTTTGAAATTTGAAAATATCGAGAAACAATTGAGATTTCAAATCGTTGAATACGCTCATATTCATTCAAGGAAAATGAAATCGAAATAGGGAAATAAAATCAAATGAAATCAAGGTTCATTGATAGTTTTGAGTTTATGTCTGCATTTCTTCAAGAGTTGGGCGATGCTTTATATAAAAGTGAGTTGGGCGATATATAAAATATTTCATGGAGACAACAAAATATTTTCCGGAAAATGATAAATTTCAACCTATGCGGCTGAAAGGTGTTTATCCGTACAGTTGGGATACTTTAGATGTCTCAGGGTCTTTCTTGGGATACTATGTTGAAGGCATCGAGTTGAAATTATTAAGTGATATCGATATGGTGCATTTCCAGAAACTGCCAGTTATTCAGTTATCATGAATCAACTAATACCAGTTGTGCAGAAATTTTTTAAGGCAAAATATTGAACCTTCTATTGATGAATTGTCACTAATAGAGCTCAGAAAAATATATTTTTAACAAGACGTGGCTTCGCCTCAGAACACTCATATTTGGATATTTTGGGAGGGTGATAAATTGTTTTTCTTGTCTCTTTCAGAAAGTATACATTCACCGATAAATTATTTTGCCTAACAAATTTCGAAATTTCTCTAACAGTCATGGGGAACTGCATTTCTTCGGGTTTCTTTACTGTAAAGTGTAAGATCAATGAAAGAGAAGCTAGGGCGTGTGGTGAAATACTTGGCTTCCTTCAGAATTTGTTGATCTTTCGAGATTTCAAATTCACCCCCAAACGCCGTATTCACCATGACTGCTTCTTCATTCTTCGAAGCATTTTAAATTCTTTTTTTGTTAATGATACCCTACAATCCATCAAGAATGCATCAGAATTTTTGTGTTTCAAATTAGTGATGATGCCGTTTTTATTCCGGGACCCGAAAGCTGAGGCAAAATCATCTTAATGAACCCGTTCAAAGGCAGTTTTTCACCGGACTGTAATACCTTTTTCTATCTTTTGTTCAGTCTTCAAAGAATTCCGTAGATTTTTTACGTATCTCAACGTCTATTCAATGTTGCTTTCCTCCCGGGCTGGAAGTATTTCTTGGAGCCTTCCTCAATCTCCTAGACCCCTAGTTACATTAACGAACTTCGTCTATTACCGCTTTTCCATTGGACTCAACAGTAATTAGTAGAATTGACGCTATTGTCTTCACTAAATCCACAAATGGAATAATGTTCCCATAAATGTCTGCAACGAAACACTTTACTGAATATGAATATTGAGTTCGGTGCAGGAGAATATATAATGTCACGAATATAGGTGCGGTTACTCAACTGGTATTCTGTGGCCCCAATATTGGCCCCGCCCACATCTGTCAACCACCTGTCCCCAGACAATCTGAACCTGTGTCCTATGGATTTCGAGGCACTGTTCATGTCCCAGTACTGCAGTACACCCAGGTTCATATTAGGGTGCTGCAACTGAACTCCGTTTGACTAGTTATAGAATCGAAATATTCAGACCGTTGCGCGCAGAACCAACCACACAGAACCAATCAATAAGTTGCTCAATTTCTTACTAGTTCTTTGAGAAACCTATAAGGGCATTCATTTCATTGCTAAAGCTTGCGAATGAAATCCTAGGCAGACCTGAGAAGGTCGCTTCCTGACTATTTTACAAGTGAACCTTACTTGACCATTCTCATTAAATATTTCAGAATGAAGGTAATAACATACATTTGTCATATGTATATATTTCAAAAATATAGTTGTGGTGAGCGCTATATCCGCGATCTTTGCGGTCCATGTATTAAAATAAACAGATTTTATCAATCAATACTGCTTTCTTGAAGCTCAATGACAATAACAAAAACCAATGATGTTACATAAGCATTCCACAAAACACCATAAGCGTCAAATTGTCGACAACTATGGAAGATGCACGAGTTCATCGTAGAAATAAAAAATATTTTTCCTGACACTCCGGTGTTTCGAAAGTTCAATGAAGAATTTTTGCCTACTAACCCCTCACTTTACTTTTTACAAAACATGGCCATTCCATGAATGTAATTACGTACTGTCATCGATGACATGAGTAGATTCAAGTCATTCGTGACAAAAAGGCATTATTTTATGAATGAACTAAGTGTTTCATTTTGTTATACTATCTAGATTGGTGGTGAGGAGGCAGTGAGGTAGGTAAGTGTTTTATTACGAAACATCGAATGTCCACCATTGAGGATGGCGGTGTTTCATGTAAATGAAATTTAATCTCTGTCATATACTATATTGTGTAGCAATCCTGTAAATGTTATTTGATTAAATTTCACAACGAATATTTGGAGTACAAACTGAAAGTCATTCGTGACAAAAAGGCATTATTTTATGAATGACCTAAGTGTTTCATTTTGTTATACTATCTAGATTGGTGGTGAGGAGGCAGTGAGGTAGGTATTATTTTATTACGAAACATCGAATGTCCACCATTGAGGATGGCGGTGTTTCATGTAAATGAAATTTCATCTCTGTCATACACTATATTGTGTAGCAATCCTGTAAATGATATTTGATTAAATTTCACAACGAATATTTGAAGTACAAACTGGAAAAAGTGTTTTCTCGTATAACTCAATGTTCTATAAACGTAGTTGTTTCTAAAGTATTTTTCTTTCGTGTAATTTAATGTTTATATGAAAGTAGTTGTTTCGAGAGAGCTCTCTTTTCCAGTTTGTATCTGAGAGTTACTTCTTTGCATGATCTTCACATCTTCGTAAATAGTTTATTCTGGAAACAATTGTTTTCGTCCTATCTTTTATTGGAGAAGTAGAGAGCTTGAACTTTTTCTTCCCAAAAATTAATCTCTCCCAAGATATATTCGAATGTATTTTGCGGCTGTTGTATTCAATCTAATTCTTCAGTTCCTGAAGGAGGGCTGAGTCTCGAAAACTTGAACGGAATTTTTTTTGTCTACCTCCTCTGAATTTCTACTCGTTTTCTCAGCTCACTTTCTTAACTTAAAACTATTTATGAAAATTTAGGTTAGGTGAGGTCGAAAATAAGTGGGTCTATTCGAGCGTCCACCGCAAACCGTAAGGGTTTATTGTGGCTGACACGTATTCAAACTCGACCAAATAAACCCAGCTTTTTGATGAAGCATATTAGTTTATATGGTGAGTGCTCTTTCAGGTTAGATAGTGAGAGTGTGGCTTTGGCAAACTCTGACAACCTGGATCAGTCCGCAGCGGAGCAGGCACAAAGTATGCTCTGCTGTTTCATCATTTTCCAAACAGAGACAATACACACTATCTTCCGACAGTCCAAGTCCCTGCATATGATGATTAAGACAACAGTGACCTGTAAGGAAGCCTGTTGGACATCGTAGTTCATCCCTACTGTAGTTCAACAACTATTTGGTATCAAGCTTCGAAGAGAGAATAAACGCCTCAGAGTGAGCCAATCCTGGAAGATTTTGCCAGAATTCCTTGAAACTTCTTGCCATCCAGGTGTTCAGTGTTTGTTTGGCAAAACCTAAAATGATGCCAATGGCAGGTTCTGGTCCGGTGAAGCTGCTTGCAGCACCCTCTTTTGCGAGGGAGTCAGCAGCCTCCTTGCCTTTCAGGCCAGTGTGGCCAGTAATCCAGACCAGAGACAGTTTGTTATGGCTTACTATCGAGGATAGTTGTTATTTGTATATGAGGTACCTATCTCTCCGCACACGATTCAATAGCATAGATTTCCGCTTAAAATATGTTATATGAATAAGAATATCATATAAAATGAAGAAAAAAAATCGAATATAAACTCAAATGGTTCAAGAAACCAAAAGTGTTTTTTGAAACATCACTCGAATCAACATCATCAGTTGAGTGTATGGATAAATCGACAACATTTTGCAAACATTTCAAATACCGTTTCACTTCTGATGAATAATAAACCACTGAGAAATATTTTTACTATTCTTCATATCTTTAGTTTTCATTTATTTTTTCTAAATAAATATTATTGTTATATTATAACTATTACCTGTGTTATGAGCCTTGGCATCAGGTATATGTACAAAAAATTGGTCCAGCAAGTTGTTTTTGGAGTTGGTTGGTGTTGTATCGTCGAGATCATTAGAACATAGTTTTTTATGGTGATTGGAGTTGAAATTTTGTACTGTTTGATTACCGCTATGCGAATCAGTCTCAATGGATTTCAAAAACTGTTTTTTAACTCTGCTGTATTCTTCCGATAGGGAATCGTCCACACAAGTTTCGTAGTCATCTTTTTCGGAGACAGAAGGCTTATCACTCAGAGTTAAACTATCATTTTTGGCAAATTTTTCGATTTTATTAATGTCGCCTTTATTGTATTCACTAATTTTATCGTTTTGAGCTTCATTCGTACTTTTAAAACTAATATCAATGTCACTATCACCGATACTATCTCTGGATTTAATTCGATGGATATTCAGATAGTTACTCGCGCAGTTTTTTTGGGAGCAATTGCTTTTTTGACCAAAGTCTTCGACTTGTGATGAACAAGCGGAGTGATTGAAAGAGTTGTCATCGTCTATGCATATATGAACTACATCCAAACACTCTTGGAAATCTTCTATACACTCCTGAAAATCTTCCAGACACGTTTGGTCCTCTTCAGTATCCTGTAATAAAACATAAAATTGATCATTGTAAGAGTAAGTACTGACATATTTGCATCATGTGTCAGATCAGATCGATCAGAATTTTTAAAGGAATTGAAACAGTTTGTAGAGGACAATCTTTCGATTTCAACAATTTGACATGAAGAATTGAAAGCTCATTTTTACTTATGAAAATGAAATGTCACATGAAATATATTCAAAAAATTTTGAGAAAACAGGGTTTCAGGCTTCTCAATTCCTTATTGTCGATAGAAAAATGTGAGAAACTTTTTAAAGTTTCGTTCAGAAACAAACTGAATTAAGGCACCTTTTTAAAACAACTACTTTCACATGAACATTGGATTCCCGGCAAAACTTTTTTTCATTTTCTACTCCCCAAATTTAAGAAACGAATCTGCCCTAAAAATTTCAATTGAAATGAAATTCCTATGGCTGAGATTGAATTAACAATCTGTATGAATATGCCTTTGTACAGTCATCCGTGACAGGAGCAGAATTGTCACTTTCAGACACCTAAAAAACAGATCATAAAAGAATTGAGTGCTTTCTCTTGCAATGTCATTCAAAACCGTGCTAATGAGGTTATAAGACAAGTGTGTCTTGTCCAGAAATTTTAAAGTATACCTTCGAAAATGATGATGATCCATGTCAGTGGAACTGTATACTGATATTTTTTCACATATACTTTGTGTAGCGTTCCTATGAATCATACCTGTTTGAATTCCATCACGAAGGACAAACTGATTGGAAAAAAGTGATTTTCATGTATTTCAATGTGCATAGGAAAGTAGTTGTTCTGATAGGATTTTTTTCATTCGTGAAATAGTTCTATTTTGCTATTTTTGCTATTTTCAGTTTTTTAAAATTAATTTCAATGGCTCGCTCAGGCGAGCCCTAACAGCAGCCCTAACAGCATATTTCTTATATTCCCGACTGTTCATTTTTCAACATCTTGTCTTTAGGGTTACCCAACATTTGTTAAAAAGGCTACTTTTAAAGGCTACTTTCACGTCCACCTTTTTGGAAATATGATCCAATCCGTTAGTATATCTTGGTTCATATGGAAACCTAATCTTTTTGAAACGTAAGTGATATATTTTTATATATGGTATAAACAGGCGACTTATTATTCAAACGCAATTTTTGTTTTGATTGACACAGATTCTGTCCTCAAGAAATAAACAGATGAGAAAATGTTGGTATCTCATTTTCATCATATTGTTGTAAATTATCCCCTGAAAAAAATAACGCGACAGCCGCTGGTCTTCATCGACCGACTGTGACTAGGTCAAGGTCGCGCTTGAATCTACTTGTGCATCTCAATCGTTCAGGTATCGCTTCGCTACGAAGACTTCCTTCGGGATATATAGGCACTACCAACGAGCAGAGGAGTCTAGTCACGTTAAAAGTGAGCTAATATAAGGTGATACACATTCGAGTATTAATCTGAAGTTAAGTTGAAGTTTTTACGTCATATTGACAGTGTAGTAGTGTAATGAAGTTGAGTTCAATTGTACAGTGTGTTCAAGTATTGTCGGACCCAAAGGAAAAATATAACATTTGGTGTCAGAAGTGGGATAACTGACTGAAAATTTTCTGTTTCATTGTGAAAACAAGGAGTATCGATCAGGACAGGATCAATGAACTTGAGAAAATGTTAGAGGCCATGCAAGCGGGTCTATCGAAAAATAAAGAACGAATGAGAGAAGAAGTACGGTTACGCAGAAATGAAGATCATTGATTTCTACTGAATATCCTGAAAAAAACCTGAAAAAGACAGATTTGCTGATAAATATCCATGGGAAATAAGAAAGAGACAATCAAATGTACCTTCCTTCATTTAAAGCCACTGAAGACATGAAAATTGTGGAAAAGAAACAAAGGATTATTGGCCAAAATCGTCAAAAAATTTATTATGGGACTCGACATCATGTCTCTACATAAATTCGTGGTGAATATAAAAAACAAACTGTTGAAAGTTGAAATTGGAAAAGTTCTGCTCGATGTGTCCTATCAGCCTGATGACATTACCAAGGTAGAAATACTGGAAGATTCCAGAGTCTCTAAAGAACCAAAATAAATCATCCAAGCAGAAATTGCTGGACTTTATGGCTTGGGTTTAGCATTAACAAGAGCAATCCATCGGCTTTGGAAATGAAATTTCTGATGCCAGATCTCTCCTAAATGGAACCAATCAGACCATACGAGTGAGAATAATCAACCCCAAAATTAACAGGGTGACGCGCAAGAAAGGGAAAGTAATAGGCACCTGCGTACCTATTGTGAAAACTGGCAGAAGCAAGAAAGAAGTCCTTCTGCAGCGTGCTCAACAACCCCCGAAAAAACTCATCGACTTATTCAGAAAGCCGTGAAGCCATCTGTCTGAAGAAAAATCAGTAAAGGCCACCTGGTGGAAAAAGAGAACGGTATGTTTGTGAAAGGCAAAATCATTAGACGAACGGATTTAGTTGAATATCAGATCAATACTGGCGATGCCAGGGCAATACGTCAACCACCAAGATATCTACCTTTCGCGAAGCAGTACGAAGATTCATCCACTGTTAAAGACATGTTAGAGGAAGGAGTAATGAAGAATCAAGCAGCCCCTGGTCTTCACCTCAGGTGTTGGTGACATAGAAAGACGGATCGACGAGATTATGCCTACAGGAGGCTTAATGATGTCACCAGAAAAAACAGTTACCCTCTCCCCAGAATAGATGACACCCTGAACATGATACAATGAACGCTTGATAGACGTGGTGCTAGGAGGACTTACCTGCAAAATATGCTCGGTCTATCTTGATGACATTATAGTGACTGGAGGAGTGTTTTCACAATGCTGAACAATGCTTATTTGCAGATCAATCCCAAGAAGTGTTTTCTATTCTATTCTATAATATTTTAGGACACGTTGTGTTCTCAGAAAGGTTTGAAATAGATTCAGCAAAAACCAAGGCAGTGAAAGAATGGTTAATACCGCAGGGCAAGCATGACGTAAAACGTTTCCTTGGATTTTGTAGCTATTATCGGAGTTTCATGAAGAACTTTGGCCAGACCGCAGCATAGCTTGACTGTGAGGAGAACCTCTTTCGTTTGATCACCAGACTGCAAGTAAGCATTCACTGCCCTGAAATGGCATTTGACTAGTGCAGGTCAGACCACTCAACACATCGGTGTTTCCTCAACTTCAAAACCCAGAAAGACAAATTGTCAGGAGGTAGCAACCTGTCCAGGGACATACACAGAAAATGAGAGAAATCACCTGATACACAGAAAATGAGAGAAATCACCTGATCATGGTCTGGTAAGGTTATTTAAAGCTATCAAAGGTGACACTACCTCCATGACTTGGCAAGATGTTACTGTTGCGCAAAAGGTAAATACTTACTCGGAAATGGGAAAGCTTAGATGGAAGAACCCACAAATTCGAGATAATCGTCCCAGAGATGGTTATACCGAATATACTCGAAAAGCTCCACGACGGTCGCACATGAGGGCATTTTGGAGTTGATAGAACTCTAGCGTGAGTGCGTGGGAATACTATTCGGTCAAATTCCACCGAAACGTGGATGAGTGATGCAAACGATGTGATCTGTGCACCTCGAAGATGGGTTCGAAGACAAGGATGAGAAGAAAGTTGAAGCAGAACCTCAGTTGGTTGTGATGAAGTATTCCTCCAAAAGGCCTGAAGTAGTAGCCTTATCCAACCAAGAGGCTAAAACGATGGCAGAAGCTCTATTGCAGAACGTAATTGGCAGACACAGAGTATGCCAGGAGTTACACTCGGATGAGGGTCGCAACTTCGAATCGTATTTATGAAAGGAAATGAGTACTTTGTTGAGAATGGAAAAGACGAGAACAACCGTTCTTCACCCACAGTCCGAAAAAATGGTCAAGAGGGTTGCACCATGAAAAATTACCCCTCGATATTTGTCTACGAGAACCAAACAGAGTGAGACGCACTGTATGAGACATCAGTCGAAAAGGTTTCTGAAGTCGACAGAATCGTTCAGGAAACATTCGTAATTGAAAAAACTCAGGCCATTTCCACACGCTTGGCGAGTTGAACATAATGAATCCAAGTATGCCGAAAGACGTGAAAGAAGTGACGAAGGTAGATTAAGGATTTCTGATCTGGACTACGCAATATCGACCATAGTGATGAAATAATTCTTCAAAATGATTTTTGAGCCAGGAAACGATATATTGAGAAGTTTCTTGAGATAGGCAGCTGTAAATATTCAACTGATATCAGAGATACCAAGCCCGATGAAGAGAGGTCTTGTAGTGAAAAGACAACGGTTACAACATTGCACTTCCGCAGCAAAGCCCGAAAGAACACAAATGAACACAACAAACGAAAAAACATAGTTGTTGAAACGATTTTTATGCGGGAAGTTTTCCTCATTGGGTTGAATATTTTCTGAGTATAATCTTTGTGGGTATGTGACGTGTGAATAGCTTCTATAATCAATTGAAATGTTTATTATACTGTCAGAGTACTTTCTTTCTATTGCTTCCGTTTCTAAGTGGATATGTTAAACTAAATATGTTGCCNCTAGAATTCTTCAGATTTTTGCCCATTTTATTCGCAATTTCACTAATATGTTGTCAGTTATTATCACTGGTATTCTCTTCACACCCTGTTCACTCTTCCAGGTATAACTAATATCATTATCGAACTGATGTTCTATATATATATGAATTTTAATGAAATACAGGTAAAAGAAATACAGGTAATCTGAGTAGATCTTTAATTACTGTTCATTCTAGGTAATAATTATGCTGCCATTTAATGAAATGGTAGTTAAATTGGTTAAGGCTTTGAAGCCGAGATTTTCAGTGTTCCTATTTTCATTCGCGTTCACTGTCATTGGTGAATCATCAAGATGAATAAACCTCTGAAACGTAAGGATACAGTTCCAAATTATGATGGCCTTCAAACCCAAGCGAAGATGGTAACACTGAAATGGTAGTTGTCATTAGGCACTCACTATATTACTTCTACATATTCCATATTCAGCAAATAACTTTCGAAACATATGTTTCAGCATCTCAATATCATTATGCCTCGAATCATGTCGTGTGTGATATCGGCACCCTGTCTGTCTCTGTCCATCTTATTCGCAATTTTTATATATGGTCAATTGCGAAAGACACTCTTCCAAATGTAATTGTAATCATTATTGAAAATTTTTTTGATATATGGAGAGTATTTCTTTCATTATTGATATAGAAAGTTTGTTAATTCAGGTAATTGAATAGAATTTCAATTATAGACCTGCAAAAGTTATTATTTATTCCAGTTACTTACTGTGCTGCTACTCAATTAAATGGTAGTTTTCTTCAGGCACTATATAAGTTACTTGATCCATGATCCATGGCATTGTAGATAAAAAATTAAAAATTGGAATAAAAATGATTTCATTTGTCAAATATTGACAAGTAACGAACGTCATTCAACACCAATATAGGTAAAAATATATAGGATGTGCCATTCAAAAATCGAAATTGGGGTCATTTCCAGTCAAACCGGAATTACGGCGAAAGCAAATAAATATATCAAAAAATGTAAATTGAACTACAATACGTTTTTCTATCTCCAATAATAAAAAAGTTATAAGGGTGAGCCACCTTAGATAATCACCCGGTATAGTACATATTCCAGTAAGGACGAATGTAGGTATTATCTTCACCGATATCTTCTCTGTTCGTTTCTGAGCATTTTTTTGAAGACTTCAGTGTCCACCACAGATAAACTGGCGGTCATTTCTCTCCGCTATAAATGAATAAATATTACGGCAACATATTTAGTTTAACATATCCACTTAGAAACGGAAGCAAAAGAAAGAAAGTATTCTGAGAGTATAATAAATATTTGAATTGATTAGAGAAGCTTTTCACACGTCACATACCCATAAAGATTATACTCAAAAATTATTCAACACAATGAGGAAAATTTTCCGCATAAAAATCGTCTTAACAATTATGTTTTTTCGTTTGTTGTGTTCATCTAGTTCTATTTCCCTTCGGTGTTATGCTTCAATCACCTCCAACTTTTTTAAATCGAAAGGTCTTTGCTGCGGAAGTGCAATGTTGATACCGTTGTCTTTTCACTACAAGACCTCTCTTCATCGGGCTTGGTATGTCTGATATCAGTTGAATATTTACAGCTGCCTATCTCAAGGAACTTCTCTATATCTAGTTTCCTGGCTCAAAAATCGTTTCGAAGAATCATTTCATCACTATGGTTGATATTGCGAAATCCAGATCAGAAATCTTTAATCTACCTTCGTCACTTCTTTCACGTCTTCCGGTATACTTGGATTCATTATGTTCAACTCGTCAAGCGCGTAGAAATGGCTTGCGTTTTTTATTTACGAATGTTTCCTGAATGATTCTGTCGACTTCAGAAACCTTTTCGACTGATGTCTCATACAATGTGTCCCACTCTGTTTGGTTCTCGTAGACGAACATCAAGGGGTAATTTTTTGACCATTTTTACGAACTGTGGGTGAAGAACGGTTGTTCTTGTTTTTTCTATTCCCAACAAAGTACTTATTTCCTTTTATAAATCCGATTCGAAGTTGGGGCCCTCATCCGAGTGTAATTCCTGGCATACTCCGTGTCTACCAGTTACATTCTACAATAGAGCTTGTGCCACCGTTTTAGCCTCTTGGTTGGATAAGGCTACTACTTCAAGCCATTTGGAGGAATAAATTTGCCAAAAAGTAAAGCAGAGCTTCTAGGCTCTCGCTTGAAACAGTGGAATTTGCTCGATGATGTTAATATCATGGATCAGCGAACTAGGCATGAAACATTCTCAACATTTTTCACAAAAGAAGGTGGATTTTGTTTTTGCAATGACATAAAAGGTATGATTGAAGGAATTGACATACCTTGTGTTCCTAGCGAATGTCGTTTATTCATTGACAGCTCCACAAAAAGCTAAAAAAATTTTGTGTTGACCTGCACGTCGTCTTGATTTCAAACAGGTTGGAGCCTGGCTCCCTTACCCTTTGGACTGATGCTTGCCACAAGGACAAACGGGTCATAACTGAAGATGAGTGTTGATGGTATGACGACATGAATGTACTCAGACATCAGTACCACTGATCCGTGATTAACGATGCTACTAGAATCTTCAAAGATTAGATGACTTTGCTGGACCCAATTTATATCAGTGCTTTGAAATATGTTGAATGTAGTGGTACCATAAATGCAAGTGCTCCATCTGATCATTGCTTGGTTTATTGTGAACTTCCCTTTCAATGAAAGGAAACAAAATCTAAAATACACTACTATGTATATTTAAAAATTTACCTATTGAAATGATGATAAAAAAAAGATAATCTTCACTTGTCGAGTATAAGAAAACAAAATCACCTGCTGATTGGTCTCGGTATAAGAAGTTACGTAATTTCACTCTTACTTCTATCAGAAGTGAAAAAAAGCATTTTATGATAGACTTTTTCGTAGCTATGATTCTAAACATTTATGGACTGAGCTGACGAAAATTAATAGTAAAAGTAAAAATATTGATCCACCAATTACTCTCCGTGAACCTTAACAAGTGAATTATTATTCCAGTTCAGTCTTTGTCGATAAAAAAGTCACTGATGATATCCTGAAACTTTACCAAAGTACAAAAACAATTTTTAAGGATTCTGAAACACCATTTAGACCACAATATGTCACGGTTAACGGAGTTAATTATGTTTGGAATAAAGTAAAATGCTATTGGTTTTGATGGTATAACCATCGATATTTTGAAATACTGTAGTCCCTTTTTTGATATCTTTCTGACCTACATTGTAAATTGTTGCAAAGAAAAAAATATTTTCCTAATTTATGGAAATTTTCCTTCGTCAGACCCCTAGAAAAAGTGAATGATCCCAAGGAATTTTCTGATCTCAGGCCTATCAGTATATTAAGTGCAATATCAAAAATTGTGGCAATTCATGCTCTATATAAATGATAACAACATAATTCCTGAATGTCAAGTAGGTATTCAGGTTATAATACATCGTCAGCTTTAATATTCAGATGATATTATCACAAATACCAATAATGAAGATCCCACAGCATAATAACCCTAGATTTTTCGGAGGCTTTCGATACGATAATCATACTTCACTTTGTTTTAAACTAAAATATTTCGGTTTTTCTGATGATACTATTTTTCTTATGAACTCCAACTAATCAAACCGTAGCCAGAAAGCACTTATAAACAATAGTATGTCAACTTGTTGTACCGTACCGTAAGGTTCAGTATACACAATATAATATATACCCAATAGTTGATATATTAACCTCTGTGAAAAACTGCAAAATACAGACTTTAATCGTCTAGCAGCTGAGCATAAGTTAAAACTCAATTAAAATAAGTGTCATCTAATCCTATTTGGCAATAAACATATCAGAAGAATCTGTCACAAAACATCAATATTTGAATAGGTAATACCACGTTATCGATAGTTGAATCTACAAAAAATTCAGGTATAATTTTTGATTCTGATTTGAAATTCATTTCCCATGTCAGTGATTCACTCAAGAAATCTTACAATAGTCTGAGGCATTGCTTGAATCAATCAATATGTAAATTGCTCCCTGAAACTTTGGTTCTTTCGAGAATCAGTTATGGAGATGTGGCCTATGGAAATCTACTCAAAAAATTTCAGCAAAATCGCATTCAGAAAGTTAAAAACTTATGTTGTTGATTTATATTTTCACTTAGAAAATTCGACTATGCCTCTAATTAGATCGCCGAATTGAAATGGTTGACAATGTCATTTTTTGTTTACTACTGTACAAAAAAATGAAATGCAAAATTCCTCCGACTCTATAGAGAAAACTGGTCCCATAATCAATTCTTCAGTCATTCGATGTATGAAACAAATATCATCTGCATGTACCACATCATTCTTTAGCCCTGTTTCAAAAATCGTTCACTTATTCATTCGTCAAAATGCAAAATACATTCCTGATCGATTGGCTTCATTATTCTGAATATCAGTTTAAACGCCATTTGAGAATCAATTTCCTTCAACAGCCAGGATAGATTATAATGCAGTTTCAATACAATACTATTCAATTGAACAACTTAGAATGATCGTAAGAATAGCCTTAAGCTAAAGTTCGCTTATTTTATGTACAGAAGGGAAATACAGATGAATCATCATTATCATTTTTGTCAATTGAAAAGATTATATGGCGATCTATATTATTATGTAAGTTCCATTTTATTATTCTTTCGAGAATCAGTTATGGAGATGTGGCCTATGGAAATCTACTCAAAAAATTTCAGCAAAATCGCATTCAGAAAGTTAAAAACTTATGTTGTCGATTTATATTTTCACTTAGAAAATTCGACTATGCCTCTAATGAGATCGCCGAATTGAAATGGTTGACAATGTCATTTTTTGTTTACTACTGTATAAAATAATGAAATGCAAAATTCCTCCGACTCTATAGAGAAAACTGATCCCAAGATCAATTCTTCATTCATTCGATGTAAGAAACAAATATCATTTGCATGTACCACATCATTCTTTAGTCCTGTATCAAAAATCGTTCAATTATTCAGTCGTCAAAATGCAAAATACATTCCTGATCAATTGGCTTCATTATTCTGAATATCAGTTTTAACGCCATTTGAGAATCAATTTTCTTCAACAGCCAGGATAGATTATATAATGAACCCGTTACTTCTAAATTATTTACTATTTGGTAAGTTTTTATGAGTGCTGTATTATAAGTCACTACGTCATGTACATATTTCGTACTTTAATAATATAATGCAGTTGTGATACAATACTATTCAATTGTACAACTTAGAATGATCGTAAGAATAGCCTTAGACTAAAGTTCGCTTATTTTATGTACAGAAGGGAAATACAGATGAATCATCATTATTATTTCTCAATTGAAAAGATTATATGGCGATCTATATTATTATGTGAGTTCCATTTTATTTCTACGAATAGGAAGAATAAAAATGAAAGAATTGTTGAAATAAAATAATATTAAAAATTCAGCAAATAAATTTTAAAATGCATACTACAGCATCATTATCGAGTAAAGGAAATTATAATATTTAGAAATTTTGAGGTGCATTGTTCATTGATTCGGAAACTAGAGACGAAGATAGATATCATTTTTTCCAGTCTCTGAATCTCCATTGATGAACAAGAAAATCCCGTTATATTCATAAAACTGAAGTTTTGATCAGATATGATCAGAAACAGCTCCGACCTGAAGAGAAAGGCAAAATAATCAAATCGAATTTAAGATGAAAATGGGATATCCAAACACGCCTGTTTGCTTCCCTTCACTCTTTCAGGGGTAATACCAGCGTCCATCCAAAAAAAAAAAAAATTCGCGATTGATCCAGTCATCTTTTTCCGCTTTAAATGAGTAAATATCGTGGCAACACTTATTTTTTACTTCAGCATTACCAACCGGAGACTGCAGCAGGAAAATGAAAGTACCTTCACAATATATTATACGTTTTTAATTATTATTTATGAGTTATTCAAACACCACAAAGCAATAAAGATTACACTCAGCAAATATTCTATCCAACAGTGTAAATTCCCTCAAAAACTATGTTTTCTCTGTTTGTTGTATTCACCCAGCTCCGCATCCAATTCTTCTGCTGTGGGTTTTCTACTTATATTTTCCTTCGATGAATTGCGTTGATTACCTTGATTTTTTTGAAATCCACAGTTTCTTGCTATGTTTGTGCGATGGTGTGATCGTCCTCTTTCTACAACAATACCTCTCTTCATCGGGCTTGGTATATCTGATATCAGTTGAATATTCAGAGGGCGTCCATCTAAAGGAACTCCTCTATATCGTTTCATGGCTCGACAAGCGTCATCTCTTCGTTCAAAAATGACATCAGCCTTACCTAAAGAACGGCCGAATCTATCAAATCTAACCGCCGCGTATTTTAGGGGTCCATATTCCTCGAAAAGTTCTCTCATGTCTAAAGTCGACACTCCATAATCCAGATTAGAAATCATGAGTCTTCCTTCGCCATTTTTTTCGCATCTTTCAGCATACTTTGGTTGTGTCTGTTCAATTCGCCAAGCATTTGAAAGTGTCCTGCGTTTTTCGTGTTTATGAATGTTTCCCGACCGATCTTGTCGACGATGACTTCTGGAATCTTCTCGACTTCCATATCTTTGCCTCGAACCATCTCGTGTGCGAGATCGGCACCCTCTCTGTCTCTCAAATCTCCTAGAATTCTTCAGATTTTTGCCCATTTTATTCGCAATTTCACTAATATGTTGTCAGATATTATCACTGGTATTCTCTTCACACCCTG